TTTAGCCTAGTTTGGCTATAGGAATATACATTATTAGTGACAGATAAACTGACATGTGTATCTCCACTGTCGTAATGAGGGTTTACAGTGTATTTCGTATTTCGTAATTACTCATACATGTGTTTTGTGTTCTTAATATGTGTCAATGTTTTATTCTCAAAATACACCATGGGAACTGTACCATAGTGAGGTGAACTTCAAGTTACTTGCTGTGGAATTACAGTAAAAATTCTTTCAATCTAGTGTTTAATTTATTCATCAAAGACATTTTGATTTATAGTTCTGGTTCCAATATGCTTCGTTCCATTTGCTAGTAACATGTATAAAATAGTACACGTGCTAATCACTGGTTCTTCTTTATGTAAGACGAAGTACTACAGACTGATTAAACAGTGAGGAATACGGACACGATATGAATTCGGGATGTACGCTAACAAAAAAAATTAGTATTCAGAACATAAACTGAGCGCTGTAACTGACCGCACTGCAGAAATACTAATTAGATTGCCGTCATTGGTTTTCTGTCTCATCTTCTTCACAGCGAGCAGACTGACATTAGTCCGCATTTCATAATCGCATTGCACCATCGGTGTATCAGCCTGTGTTCTGCCGTTATACCTAAATTGGATCGTTGCCACAGAAACATACGTGGGCCACAGAAAGTCGCGTGAATGAATATTTTAGCACCCCTGCTTCGTATCCGGGAGGTTTTCGTCTCGGCCCAAGGTCTAGTTACTTCTATTTAGGTGTATCGTGATTGTCCTCAGTCGTTTCACTCGTTACATTTTTCGCGCCCTTTCCACTTAATTTATTATTCACATTCGCATTTATATTCGACCTTATACACGTATATAACCTACACAGTTGTGTCGGTGTTGTTAAATATTTAATAAAAAGTCGCTGTCGAGTCGTTGATAATCCTGATTCGTGTTCGAAAGGTCCCGGGTACAAATTCTGGTCCAGAAACTGGCTTTCTTGACTGTGGTTTTCTTCAGTTCCTCTACACAAGTTCAGGGATGGTCGGTCCTTAAATTAGGTTACGACCGCGTTATTCCATATCGCTTCTAATTTAATTAGTTATTCTATCGTGCGACGGTAAATAGTCTGAGACATATAACATCATTTTTAAATAAATCACAAATAAAAAGTAAACGAATTAAACAAAACGACAAATAGGAAGGAGCCTACACGAATATACTTAACTGACGATCGAGAATTCTTTGATTTAAATCACAAGGGCAGATTATGACTGAGCCCTTGTAGGACGAAGCTACAAGAATTCAGGGCAAAGGCACGTTGTAAACTCTCAGATACATAACATGCACAAAACTTCATTAAACTAAGCGGAAATGTTAATTACGTTCTATGCGCAAACGCGATACCAGATATCTTGACTGATTTTATCGCGCTGTTCCTATTAAGCCACGGGAAATTTCATCAATAAATTCCCAAATCAGCATTTAGAATCTTCCTCTTATTTGCCACTGGAACAACCAATACATTTTACACACCATGTTTAGGTAAGCTAAGAAGTAACGTTATTTTCTCGCTGCTTTATACACAAATTCATATTACATTTTTACTGCCTGATTCTGAATTTTAAATAATCTTGTCGGGAAATTATGCTGCTGTATAAAGCGCTATTATTTCTTTCACAAAATAAGCAACGACATACTTATGGAAATGATATTCTGTCAATGAATTTATGTTGTTTACAAATAAGTGATAAATTTTTCTTGTGTGTAATGGGTAGATCTATTTGTAGCTTATTATTTCTTTAGGTGAATACTTTGTTTTGTATTATGTGAAATTTATATAATAGTATTAATTGTATTTTATAATATATATTGTATTAATATTATTATTATTATTATTACCATTATTATTATTATTACAACGTTCTGTCAATATAACCCCGCCTAGTGTAATTAAAAGATACTTGTTGGAAATGAGTAATTTGTCCTGTATAATGAATTTGATTACTGGAACAGAAGTAAGCATTCTGGATCACTCAAAATAATTTGCCCTTTGACCTCTTCGAATGACTCCGGTGACGTCAGAGTTATCTTCGGTGGCTGGGGATTTCCTGTGACGAGAATGGCAGCCTGAAGTTTCCCCACCCAGCCACTTCCGCGCGTACAAACGCGTTATTTTTGTCCGATTTTAGCCAAAATTAGAATACGTCGAAAAATGTCTGCTAAGTTAAGCATTGCCAAATTTTATAAAAAATCTATTCAGCCGCTTTTGAGTAGTTGTATCGCTTTACACAGAGTCAGCCTGTAGCCTTCAAACACACGGCCGCTGGGAACCGCGACACCTTGCCTTTTCAGTCCCGTAGTTCGGTTCTTCAACGCTTTCTTTGCATTAAACGACTCACAACCAGTTAACTGGTCATGTGTCGTGGTATCTGTGGTAGTTCTCGTGTGGTTGCTGCAGTGTGGAGCTGCTTATGAGACCTGCGGCCGGTGTACGGTGACACAAGATGGGGATAAGCGGTTTGAACTCTAGGGTAGCACGCAGGGCGTGGCAGTGTCTGTGTAGGATCTGGGAGCCATGTTGGTCCAGTACGATCGATCTCTTGCGAAAATCTCTCTTTGTCTCTCTGTTACTGTCTCTTACATTCTCTTTATGATTTATATATCACCCTCCCTACACATATTTACATGTTTTCTTTCCACATCTATTCGTAATTTCTAATCTTTCATTCAAATAAACACACCCTCCAAGCCTACACAGAATCACGTTCCTACTTTCTCTGCATTTATAAATTTTCACTACTTTGCTGATAGTTTTATATTACATATTTCTTATCTTCTCTTCCGTCTTGGTATTCTAATATTTATTCAGTACTTCAACCTCTACAACATTTCTTCTTTCTATCCCACTTCTTAATTTGCTTTATTTTGAAAGTTTTTATATTTGTTCCATGTCAATCCGACAAAGCAGTATGTTTCCCTTACCTGATGATGGAAATATTCAGTTACTGAAATGTCACATTTGAAGAAAGTTAAGGCAATGAACAATGTTCAAAATAATATTCATGTCTTGTACACGCTATGGTCAGAAACGTTTAGACTCAGGTTCAATGTCCAGACGCTATGTTAACTATACAAAAAACATCGTCTTTCAAGGATCTGAAATTTCTCGTTCAGTGCCGGATGGAATCCTGCTACCTGCGGGAACAGGATTTTTGTCACTAAGTTCAAACCGGTTATGTGGTTTTAATGAAATTTGGTAGGAACATAATTTCTCTAGACTGAAATTTTTTGTATCTCTAGATCTCCGAACATTAATAATGCCAAAGTTACGACTGTGCGAACTTTTAAGGCAGAAGCGAGGCGAGCTCTGCTTAACCTAATGTTGTGACATTAAGTCGTAAGTGCTGATAGTTTTAGAGACGTATGCACATTTACGGAAACATTTTCATACAATTTAAGACGACAAAATTGTAGCAGTCAAAAAACTGTGTTCAATTCTGAGTCTGATGGTGATAACTATTGAGCCACTGGAACTAGAAAAGTGGTATTTTGAATGAAGATTATTAATATAACCAAAACTTGTAGGCTTATATGGAACACAGTTTATATGTTACATATTATGAACGTAACAATGAAACTTTTCAGATATATCTCAAAATCTTTTGCGTAGAAATGGGTTACCAAATTCTGTGTTTTGACTTCGTATATTTGTGTATGTAATTTCCAAATTGTCGGCAGTATGTTCCTCCAAAATATTTTTAAGTGATGTTGCCAGTACGCGTTTCGACGCTATGATATCAATTTAAAGCGGCCCTTGCGCTACCAAATTACGATAAGATAAAATTAAGTGCTTCCTGAAGACGACAACTTAGCCTCGTGTCCTTTATGAGACGATAATGCACATATTACCTTGTAGCAACATGAATAATTATATTTATACCATTAGACTCCTTGTATCCAATATTGAGTTCTGAAACATCATCGTTTGGGCATGTCAGTATAGAGTTAATACTTCACTTCGAATATCAATCGATTTACTAACTAACCTGACTGAGCATTCTCAAGGCTTCCTTCAATCTCTCCGGCAAAAACCTTCTCCTTCCAAATCTTTACCTAATTATCATTCATATAGCGTCGAATTATATGGAAAAGTTATCAAATATTTTGGTTAAATAAGAGTGCTTGGACCATGTTCGTATCTAACACCTGAAACAAACCTGCTCACCTAAACTGAATTTCAACCTGACGAAGCGATGTACTGCGGGTGAGCAAACTTGCCGGTTCATTGGCAGTCAGAGGAGCAGAAGCTGGCGACAGGGCTGTCCAAGCCAGACAAAGTAAAGAGACAGACAAAGAGTGTTCGAGTTCCAAGCTGGAGACTTCGTAGGAGACTCATTAATTATCCCACGTACAAACTCACAATTCACAAAGATAATGAAGGCAAATCAAAAAATGTTATTACAGCGACGGACAATGCTATGGGATGTACGGCCGGGTTTTAATTCAGGAAGGTTCCTACTTCCAGAATTGCCTGGATACAGGAAACAAAACCTGAAGACGACCACAAAGTTACACCTAGTGCTGCAGTTAAGAAATTGTGTGAAACTTTGACTTCAAGTCCTTTTTTAATATCGCATTTATTTGTAAGATTTTGCTTACAAAACTAGATATTAGTCTCTACAAGGACAGGGTACGCCCAAACTTCTTATCTGCGATTTATTAAATGGCTGCAACTAACCTAAAAATTCATTTCTAATCTACTAATTTTGAAGAATGAATTTTGCTTCACGTGGACCATTCTGTTGTCAGTCGCATCTAGATTATTAATGACGCAAGATGATGAATGACGCAGCATTATGCAGAAGTTATTTGTATGATGCAACACCCCAAACGTTTTAACCTCATTTTCGAAATCCCGTCTCCTAGCCATTGCTATAAAACTGATCCATAGATGGCAGAAAATGATATAACATTTATCTGGTAGACAGATTTGCATGGACACATGTTTTTTCTATCTCCCGTCGTTCCAAGTCGTGTTTGCGAGTCTTATGGAGGCAGATTCTCGATTAGAGATATAGGAGATAACTGTGTGAATTATGGACCTTGACTGAGTGCCAAGTAAGTGGCTTTTTAGTCCTTACATCCACTCCAGAGTAGGACTTAACCCCGCCTACTCTCGCCTAAATAAGGTCTCATCTTAAATTAGTTAACAGAGCTAATTTAGCTGCAAGGATTGGTACTGTTTTATTTTATTAAATCTCAAATCACAGGCATCAATTAATTTTGTTCCAAAAACTTAGAATTACTTACAAGCTTTGTTAATTCCGTGCTTTGTACGATGTTCACAATTAATTTTCTCTTATCCTTGTCGAGAAAGGAGAAGTATCTTCAATATGACGAGACCTTCCCCATGAAGCGAAATAAAACTGTCAAGCGTGTTACAATTATAATCCAGGATAAGATTTTACGGTTGGCCGGACTGTCTGTGATTGCTAGTTATTTCTGTTGCTATTTGTGAGTTCCTATAAGTGGCAGAATTTTGATTTTATTACTAAACTCTAGACATCAGTTTTACAGTACGATTTTCAGGTTTCTTACATTTCCCTTCTGCTAGTAAGAAATCCATATTGTAGTCCTTTAAGTTACAGAAGAGTGGATTTCTCGCTTTAATTTAAGGAAGATGTTTAAAAAAAATAAGCCATCTAGCAAAAAAAAAGTTTTAGGAAGATCACATGACTTCCAATTTCCTCCGAATATTCAAATGTGTTTACTGAAACTAGCAAGTATTAAACATTAATAGTTACACAGCTGAATAGTCTATTTCTCGGCATAATTTCCATTTTTGCAGACTCCAACTATGTCAAATCTATCAGACATAACCTCAAATGTTCCTACGTTTACATTAATTCAGTTCAGAGGCACGTTTATGTTCTGTCTATACACAGAATTTTACGTGCCTTACTACAACCCTTCATAAATTATCCAGATCAGGCTGAAAGCTAAAGGCAGGTTCCGGTGAAGATATTCTGAGAGGCAGCGTACAACAAAACAGCTAAGAAGACTAAATAAATTGTAAATGAGCATATACTATTAAGTACATTAAAATAAGACACGCAATTTAGGAAAGCAATCATTCGGAATAATGGAAATGCTTATTCTTAAGCAGAAACACCAAGCTCGTGCACGAATCGCCGTGTCATGTCGGCAACTTCTCCGGCTCTGCTGTTTCGCGGTACGGTATTAAAACTACCCATAGGCGTTCTGTGAGGAATAGGTCTTTATATAATCTGACGATGTTGTTTTATGTATGCGTGTGTGTTTTATGCATCTCTGACCAAGTTATCAACAGTGACATTGTGTGGAAACATTCCATTTTTTCATGATCATTACTCAACTTCAAAAATACTTCTAAAAGAGATAAACGTTATAGAGAAAAAAAGTAAGAAATGGGGAATGGATGAAGATGCGGAAGAAATCCTTCGAAGTTAAATTTCAAAGAGTCTATTTCATCACTAAAACTCTGTTTAGTATTAAGGCTTAGGCCCAAATAAAAGTGTTTTACCCTACGTTCCTTCGACTATGACAAACTGCTAATAGGCCAACTAGTATACATTGTACATAATTATTTCTTAGGCAACACTGCATAACACACAAAAGTAATTTATAATTGTATATCAGGGAGTTATAGAGAATATATTGAAGTTTCACTCATTTAGTTTTTAAAAAGTAAATCAAAATGTCGGTGACATATCTGACGAAAAACTTAAAGGCACTTCTTCTCGCATCCGATTCCAAACAGACCACGTCCTACGGCAGTTACGTTTCGTGAATTTCGTTTTGAAATGACAGTCTGTCCACTTTAACGCATCACTGCAGCTCACCTCGTCTGACAGAAGGTTTCCGCTTACTGAGAGAGATTTCACGGCGAGTGGGCCCGAACTCTCGTCCCTTTGCAAGACGCCCTCGTAGCCCTCACCCTTACGAGCATGACACCGACGCCACAGGAACCTGCAACAAACGAAAATTACTTCGTGATTCGGTGCTCTGAGGAAGAACATTAAGTACATTTTGAAAGCATAAACAATGGAATATAACACTGACATTTTTAATTCACAGCAAGAATAATATCTGCCATAACTTGTCAAGAATTTTCATATACATTTTTAAGCTTTGTGGAACTATAAAAACACGGGCTGCCACTAGAAATACTTAATTATTAATTTCTCATATTCTGCTGGGTAATAGTTTTGTTGTATACGTTTTGCTGAAATGTGTCCCTGGAGATTATGCGGAGTTGGCTACTCTTGTCTGTTGGTGCGAAACTTCTGTCTGTCAGTGCAGCCGCTGCTGGCGATACAAGAGGAGGGGAAGCTGGTGATTGAGTTACATGGCGCCTTACGTGACCCTGCCTTCAGTCTATGATGCTTTAACACGAAGGATGCTACGCGCAGTCACGTGCTGAACTTCTTACTCCGGGTCTGCATACACTAATAACTTTAAAACCACCTACATTAATCAAGTTTAGTTGTTACTAAATTCTTGCTGCCAGATGCAACCGAATACTGCATTTTATAAACGAATAAAAAGTGTATTTATAAGTATCTGAGGAACGTAGGCAAAAATATCGATTGATGCCTTCTGCGTTGCTCATAAGCTTGCAGCGGTTGCCAGAGGTACAGATACAGTGGACGCAGTGTACAGCGGTAGCTGCGACCTGCTGTAAACAACTGACTGATAATTTGTAATAAAAGAACCAATAAACTGGAGCAAATCGTTTGTTGTCCAGTTCTTCTGTCCGTTTCAGAAGGTAGTGAATCTGAATTTCTGGTATATGAACAGTTTGTATGATAATATTGTTACTATTCAGCTTTTATAGATCCTTTGTCTGTACGGCAGAACGTACAGGGATGCCTTTGTCCGTTGTTCTAACAATCGACACGTTTGCCAACAATGTGGAACGGTAAACTCGGTTTCTTTGTCTACTGAAAATAGCTTTCTAGTCGAGTGAAAAGAGAAAATGTGAACGTACAATCAAAGGAACAATGACGAAGAGAGAAAAAAGAAGTATATCACTCGCACTACTTTATTCGATTTCGTTTACTTGGAACTGGAGTTGCAGCCCGAAATTTTTCTTCCACAATTTACTGACAGTTTTAGACTTCAGTGCAAATGCAGGTCCTATTTTGGGGTGAAAGTAACTTATCTGTGTAGGCTGTACTGACGACGTTGGAATACGTTATCTTTAAGACTAAGAGAGTAATTGTTTTTCGAAACTTCCGTAAACACTGACAACTACACGTGTTACAATCGCGTACTCTTTTTCATATCAGGTCTCTTCACAGCTATTCAGAATTATCTTCAATCTACGTGTATCTTCTATGAAGTTTACATCCATTCCCTCTGTGCACCTCCGTGTTAATCATGCGAGTAAATCCACTTTTCCTTATACATTTAGTTTAATGCAATGAAAGACTACAAGAATTCCATGACACAAGTCTTTTTAAAGGTGAAAATTCAGTGCATTTCATCTGGTCAATAAGAAAGAACTTCAGACTTCAAAAGTAATACAGTTGCAATAAATACAAAATTAAATTTATCGAATGCAATATTTTATGGAATGTAAAATTGAATACGATTTTCCAGATCAAACATTTACAATAACAACTTCGCAAGAAATACGTCATATTTATTACAAGTTTACGCATCGAAAACGTACTCTAAGATAATTTCTGTGTGAAGAATTGTCATTAGTTTCACTTTAAGAATGTCAAAGCTTGGAGACTAACTAGTTCAAAAGACAGCTGTCTTCTGGGTTGTTGCACCGTGTAGTCTGGTAGAAGTTTACCGACGTTTCAGAGGTCCTTGGTACCTCCATCATTAGGGCGACGGAAACCTCAAATCCTACACAGATAGTTCAGTCAGCCTTGCAAATTCACCTTTACGTTGCTCGTAACCGCGCGCGTCTACGCTTCGACTTCTTTCATTTACATCTTTCTTTTATTTCACTTCTATCTATTCTCCCTTTTTACCTTCTCCTACGTCCCTTTCATTTTCATTCGCAGAATTCACCCCGTATTTTGAATCTCCAGCCTTATTCTTTTCTTTTTTACAGACTTAAACAAGCAGAAACCATTTTTTTCATTTCCTCTTGAAATCTAAAGCAATATTTTACAAAACTGTTATGACGCTGTAATTTTCATATCCTGGTACTACTTTAGAAACTTTAAAATAAATGGAACTGAACTAAAGAGAGAAGCAAAGGGCATGTTTTCAACGATGGATGGTACAACTATCCACATACAACGGGAGGCTTAAATTTCTTCTTCTGGATTACGTTTTATACCTGAGCCTGTCATAAGGGCTGTTACGAGTGTTAAGCTGCTGTCTCTCAGGGTATTATTTGACGGGACTAAGCTATCCGAGAACTCGAATCTTCCCTTTCATTTCAGTATTTGTCTACCACGGTAATTCAATTCCACAGCAACCAGATGAAAAGACAATGGAATAATGCGTTCGTATTGTCTATTGTAACGTACTTTGATCTGCGAAAAACAAGGATTAGATTGTACTGGAGGACTAGGAAAGTTACGTCGTTGTAAATCGACGTCATTGTCTATTCGACGGTAAGATACAACTGGATTAATAGTAGTGACTGTGTTGAAAATGTAAAGTCGCTATTAAATAAAGTAAGAATCGTTATTAAACACTGTGGTAAAAGTTACTCACAGGCGTCTTCGTTTCATGACAGAATAAACAACCCGATTATAAGACGATCTGTAACATAAAAGATTTCTCTCTCTCGAGACCTGCCTGCAGGAGATTGGAAAAGTGAGAAGATAGAAGAATGGCTCTGATGTTCCTGCAGATATCTGAGCCATAAGAGGGCGATCTCTTAAGAGGACGTCACTACATTTGTCCTATCGACACAGACTCTGTCAGGCTTCATGTCCTTCTGCGACCTAAAATGTTAGATACAGCGCAGAAATTCTGCGTCTTCGAGTAGTAGACGCTGTATTTGTACTTGTTCAACAGCATATAACCACTGTTTAGTACTTCACTTCTTATTAAATCGTATGAATATTTATGAGATTTGAGGTTCTCACGGCGGTCAAGATGTCGATTTCTTTTAGTTTTCACATTGTTAGTTCCCTTGTGTTTAGACATCGTTTAGAGAAACTTTTAAACTCAACAAAGAGTTACGACACATGACGTCATAACCGAGAAGCTCAAATGTGACAACTTTGCCAGCATGAGAATATTAAGTCTCAAATATTATAATGGATCTTAAGATACGGTACTCTATTATGAATATTTATTACAATTTTAAGTGTCTAGTAAGTTAAAATGGATATTAAGCTAGCTTGACTACCATAAGCCCGCGTTTTAGTTGGCCACCGCATTATAAATGATGGAACAGACATCTCTGAACGCAAAAATGTGACTTTTCAATAGAAACAGTGATTTTCTGATATCAGTACTGTGTCAACTACGTTCACAGCCTTTTCTCTTATCAAATAACACACAGGCCTGTCGTTCTCTTTTTAACACACTGCGACGTCAATGAATAGTCTAAATCTTCTTCAGAACATCCTTAATTGGCTGCGTCACAAAAGGTACACTGAAGATTAATATTTCAAAATACTGAGAAGCTATCGCATGTAACAGAGTACAAGGTTTTTCTACTATTATGCCGTTAATTTTAGTGAGATTTTTTTTTCTTATTCAGAAGAAGAAATGCAAAATTATCTGCCGATACGATCGCAGACGTAGAAAGGGCAATGTACACAATTAGTTTTCATCTCGTTTTATGTTGTACAAACAAAACCAGGACGAAATTACACGAGAATTGTTAAACAACAAATCTTATCTGTACATTCAATATTCTTAGTGAGGATTCCAAAAAGATTCCGGTCTACCATAACGCGGAGTTGTAAATATTTAACCTCAATTCGTTGAGAACTGAAAACGTCAGCATTATCAAATTATATTCTTCAGGCACCAATATAAATATTCTTTATGTTTTTGTTTCGTTTTACTTTTTTTTTCTGACTAAAGTCGGAAACGTGGAGTGGTTCACAAATTATTTTGTCTTCTTCGTTTTATTTCTGCCATTCGGTGCACATTCTAGCGATTCCTCAGTTACAAATTGCAAGGCGGGGAACGACTGAATTGTGTAAGGGTCGAGATTTTCCTGTATCACTTGGATGTCATTAAGAAACTTCCGCAAAGCTTCGAAGCTTACGAGGGAGAATGGGGAGAAACAACACACATTTATAAGGGACGTTCCTCAGTGCTTAGCTCGTCCAGTCACGTTGAGAACATTTTCAAAAATACACATGCTGCCGATGCTATGGATTCTATAACAGTCCACAGTCACTCAAAGTGAATGAATAAATGCAAATTTGCCCCAGTGTTTAATTCCCACGCCATGAAAACATTCTTAACCTCGACACAAGATGGGCATTAGTGGCCAGCTTCAAACTATGGCCACTTTACCCCCAGGTAAATAACCCCCCCCCCAAATCCATTAGCTAATAAGTCCTAGAGTCGTGGGTAAGCGATGGCGAAGAGAAAATTCCCTGCTCCAGTTGGGGATCGAACCTCGGTACTACAGAATGTAGGCAGTGTAGGATTTGAGGTTTTTTTACGGCTGTGAGTCTAATGCGATGCCCCCTGATGATGGGACAGCAAGGTCCTCTGAAACGTCTGTAAATTTGTACTAGACTACTCGGCGCAACAACCCAGAAGCCAGACAGACCACTAACTGATCTACCGCGATTTATTAAAATTGAATTATATAAAATGTGATATTGTGATTAAAAATAACCCCATAGAGAAGAGTCTTTTTTGAGAAATTAACATTACGCGCAAGTAATCATGAAATTCTCCGACTTATTCCTTAATTATGACGCGACTTTACGTTTATAAATATGACCAAGTTAACTGAAAAGTCTTCATATTTTACACTTTTATGGAACGTGAAACAAAATTTATAAAGTAATAATAGGCCTAGACATAACTTCCTAACTCCTTCAATACTGAAAATAAATTTCCAAAATATTAACAGTAAATAAGTTATTTTATTTGTATTTGGGAGCCAGTACACGGCAACATTGTCAAACGCAGATAGATTTGGGAGTAATTAACACTATTCTCGCTATGAACGAGAAAAGTCGCTTTGAAATTGATCCTTCGTTACTATTGTGTGTGGCTTTTTCAAAAGAAACCTACCTTGCCACTTTCCGACATACTCGTAAAACTAATAATTTTCAGCAAACCTCAAAGTAAATAAACTTAAGTTTGAAGAATTACAACTAAATATTATCTTCTTGTTGCAAATATAAGCATGCAGAGCGTTAAAACGTACACAAATATTCTGCCCGGGGCGCGATCTTGTGCACCCACACTACGATCGGCCTATGACCTGCTACTGAATAATAAAAAAGAGAACTTTAATTAATTCTCATTTGCAGTGCTTTGATGTGAAGCTCCACGCTTTCTCAATTGAGCTTCTCTGAAACTGTTTCTATTCCCTTTGTTTGATATAATTACGACGACATAAGGCAAGTACTTTGTAGTCGGAAAAAACTTTTCTCATTACCAATAAAGACTCAAAGCAAATAATTACACATTACAATACAATAATTACAAGTCTATATGTATGAACCTACGCATAAAATATTGTCTGACGTTGTAATGTATTTTCGTCTAAGATAGTTTTATGAGACTGAACATTCTCTTCCTGTTATCATAAAACACTTTTAGTGAAACAGTATAGTTTAATTTTATAATAGAATTTTTAGAATTTGTCTGTATGCCTATTTGACAAACTCTTAACAAAACTCGCTTAGTGATGCATCCAGCATCAAACTCCTAAACATCGGCAACACATCCACTTCCACAAAGTTACGCAAAATTCCCATAAAATCTGAATAACAGTAATGTTCATTAATGTCTAAACAAAGCAAAATACAAAGACATAATAACATAACTCACATGCCACAGGCATAACATAATCCTTTATTATCTTTAGCTAATCTTGCATTTTAGTATGTCACCCACAATTCACATCAATTCCCATAGCCACGGGATTTAGGTTTTGCCTACAGATACAAAATGAAAAGAGAAGCACTATATAAAGAGAAGAAGATGAAGAAAAGAGAGACAAACAAACAGGGAGGAGAGATTTTTTCTTAACCAAACGAGAAGCTCAGAAACCTTAATATGGTTGAGACACGATTGTGCACATAGTAAAATCACGAGGCAATGCCATGGCAATAGGAAATTGAATTTGCATCGCTTCCCAATTTCGTTTTAAAGGCGACAGATGCATTATTGATGTGGTTGACTTACCTTACTCCGATGGCAACTACTAGGATGAACATTAGTGGTAAAAGCGTGGCGATGCAGGCCAGAAACACAGTCTGCATGTCGGAGTACCCTGCATAAACAACACATCATTTACTGTGATTTTCCTGTAATAATTCTATGCTACTTGCTGAAAAAACTGGCTACGTCAAAAAGGAATGTCTACTGTACTCATTCAGAATCTGCACAATGCTCACTTAATTTTTTAAACTAAAATTACATAATTTTCAAGTGAATTCTGGTTCTCATGGCTGCTAGTATTTCTGTGGTCATAGTTTTTCTCTTTTAGCCTAACAACAAGAAACAAAATCTCATTTCGCTTAGCTTCAGTATCGACACCAAAAACTGCATGGGGAAGTTACTGCATCGTGTGTGTAGGACGTGCTTTCCTCCCTCTGTCCAACATCCGGAGGCAATTAGCAAAATTTCCAATACCCCTAGCCGGTATGCACAACGCGTTGCAAGTACGCCATCTTTATTTGGCCATCTCTATGTTAATGCAGCGCATTCATAGTAAAGAACTGATTTTAATTGTAATATTTTATTAAGCGTTTATAGATGCATATCTGGTCAAAAAGATTTCCAGTTTTCATGTCTACCCACGGTTCATTACAGTTTGGTGCGAAAATATGCGGGTTATATATAATGTATGGGGGGCATGACGGTACCTTCATGTAGCAAAATGTCATGGCGATTAACAAGACCACTTATCGCTAACATAGGGACGCTGGTTGCTTACAACGAAGTGGTCGTATTTCAACCACCTGTGGCTAAATTAAAGTCTTTACTCTATAAAAGTGCACAGCTTTAAGTGCTGAGATATGTTATGAGCCCACTGGGAGTTGTGTCTGAGATATAATGTGCTATAAATGCCAGCTAATCTTAATATGGAAGATAGCATTTATGAGAAAACTAATACATTTGGTAATAATAAAATTTGCTTAGAGTTTTATATAAATTGGTTCACATAATGTATAAACTCTACTATAAGTAAAGTTTGTCCCTCTATACGCCATGTAGGCTCAACGTAAAAGAATATTTTTACACAATATAAAATATAAATTTCATCAAAACCTTTGTTTGAAACATTTACTTATATCGCGATTACTTAAAAAAAAACAAGAAAAATTCGTTTCTGAGAATAAGTAGTGCGATATTTAAAGAGAGTTTGTGACGTATTGGTATAATCACATAATCCACGGTATATTTTTAATTCTCATAGAGAAGCATGTGAAAATTGTATTTTCATAATTGTGTAATTAAATTTGTAAAACTTTTTGGATTGATACAGTGTTCCGACTTGGACAGAAATGAGTTTCATGTTCAAGTTAGATTTTTGTTAAAAAAGAGGGTTAAGCAATCTATGAAGGCCCGAACTATAATATTTATTGCCCAAAATATTACTTATTTCATCCAAATCCTATAAAAACGTGGCTGTTAACTTACCAACATCAACTTCTCCAAAATCTATCATACCCTCTCCAGACGTATTATAGGAACTGTTAGCAAAGAGGATATTGTCAGCTCCTCCATCGGAAATAATGGGTCTGCCGGAAGTCGAGTTTAAAAATACGTCACTTCCGTTTGCCTCCAGAAGTCTTCTAACAAACGGGAGAAACATGATGACGAGACAGGTCCTCTTATTTATTGAAGTTTTCCAATCAATTCCATGTTTGTTCTTTTATCCCACTGACGAAGTGTCCCTCGTTCTTTGTTTTGCTACAATAACAAATTCTGCGTCCTGAACTTCGGGACCTTCTCTGGTTAATCATTACTGAGCTTGTCTCGCCATGAAGTCTCTTCAGAGTTCTGCTAAACACAGCCAGTTTCAACCTGAAACAGAAATTACGTTGTAGAGGCCACACAAAGTTTTCTAATTAACTGTGCAGAGACAATAAAGTTTCAATTTACTCCTAGAAAAGTGCAACATACTCTGCGACGAGAGGAGAATGATCATAAAGATTAATAATTTCGATAGCCAAGAACGTGTAAAACAAAATGCCACATGACCAGTGTTCAATCACAGGTAATTGAAATAATTTCATCTGTTTCTCACTACTGTGACCTGGATTACAACATAGAGCATTTCTGTAAACCATATACCAACATCCTTTCGGTGACGGGCTAAAAGGAGAAGATTAAATTTTACAGACCACGCAGTATTAATCGACAAAAAAAAATTGCCTATAGATTTATACGTTGTGTTCTCACACAGAGATATTTTTCAAAACACATTTTTGGTACAGGTATCATAAATATATCCTGCCTAAAAATACACAATAAGTAATTTTCTTAGAAAACTTCACTATTATTTTCACACAAACCCATCACTTTTGGTATCTGATCATAATCTCAGTATATGTAACTCCTCGACACTTGATAGAGATTAATAGCAATATTGAAAGAATTCGGAATTCCTGTACTTGAGTCCACTTTAGACCAATTAATGAATCGTCATTGTTTCAGTGAGTTAACATACCACTAATTTTCTAATCAGTGTTTGCTGATGTAATATGCTGTGTTACACCGATAACTGACTAATCCCAGGCGGCCAAGCTCCTCTTGAGAAGCTGACATTCACTCCGCTGATCAAACAGACATTACGTGTCTTTTATGGAATCTAAAACTTTATTACCGTCTTCATAAAAGCTCAAAATGGTTAAGTATAGTTGTACGGGACGGTATGATGGACGCTCGTTCGAGACCCCAGATCTGTGCAAACGAACGAGTGCCATCACCAATCCGTTCGATTATACGCCAATCCAGTGGTCTAGCAGAATCATAACAGAACTATCCCCAGCTTGTCTGCACATCAAATCCGGGGGCTGGCTGCAATAAATGTGTGAGGGGATTAGTGAGGCGCCATTTCACCCCAGCTCGTATATTCTTTAGTTACCCCCACAGTAAAGGAATTTGTGTAAAATAATTTTATCCACCGAGTGCATCTATAAGTTTTGTATGATTCTCAGGCTAAGCAGTGATTGTTTCTTTAAATAATTGATCGTATGTTTCCCTGTGTTCCTGTTACAACCGGGTCTCTTAAACAGTAAAGTGGTTTAGCCGTAGATCCTTTTTTCTGAAAATGTATCTCTTTAGTGATTTTGATTCTGTTTTACTCAATATTGGCTCTCTCTTTGATAAGATCATTGAGCTACATTCTTCAACTATTCTTATTTAATGCGCTTGTTATAAAAATTTAAGTTAGATGGCATTTTAAAGTTTAGCATTTTCCGTGAGCTAGGTTCACTTGTTAAACAATTTATTTACATAAAGATTATTGAGAAGCATGGCAGTGCGAAGGAATATTAGCAGTCAACGGGAAACACATATACTTTGCTTGTTTTCAGAAACAATGATTAAATTTAAATGTACAGCTGAAATGTCATGCGAAGGGGTTTGCTTCATGTTATGGTCTTCGCGACCAGTTTTCCACGTAGCGTCCGTCTGTTTTTACATTACTGATACAGAACATGAGTCATCTTCAGGGAAGACACCAATAGTCTGACTACTGAAATTAATATATGCACTAGTGTCTCGCCAATATAGTGAGAGATTGGAGAGGCATGTAACACTCATAACTGATACTGTCTCGTTAAGTAATCTAAGAATTAATCATGTTCTGAGATCAGAAAACGCCGTGAAAGAATATAACCATCAAAGTATGAAGGCATAACGATGCACCTAAGCAGAAATCAAGGGGACATGAAAATATGATAAGAGAACGTTTACCTTCTACAGAAATAAAAATAAATTCGAGTGTACAATGCACATCTCATCTGCATACTCGCTAAAATTATAGCAAAAAACATTGTAAAATACAACAGACTGCGGCCAGTGACCGGCAAAAAGGTAAATACCCTTCACCTTCCAGTCGAGAAGAGGCTTACACAAGCAGAGAAGGAAACTTGGTTGTAAAAAACGTCACCGACTCTTAGAGACAGTTTTATAAAACTTGTATTCCCATTATTCTCGTAGACGAGAGTACCAGAGAGACCTAGACACAGATGGAGGATATTATCAAAATTATCTCAGACATAAAATGCGACGCGGTCATTTTAAAGTCTCAGAGTAGGTTCCAAATGGCAGAGCACTCTAATGAATCTTCGAAATCCAAATCAATTTTTGACCGGCATAGCGACCAACTCACAGACTTCTCGAGAGGAACAAACATTTCACTGTGTAGTCGGTTTATGTCTTGACTGTTCCGTGCCTTTTGATAATAAGATTTTAAAAATTTAGTGACTACATTCAACGTCGTCCGTTAGTAGTGCATAAGGCAGCTCTCGTGTGATTCAGACAGCCAGTGGTGGTTTAAGCTAGTAAATTATAAACAAGATCGATTCTGTCTAATTTTCTAGATTGTATAACCAGAAGCAATGATTAGAAAGACAATAGATGATCCCCCTTTGAAATACGCTTTCACATCAGGGATTGTCTTCAGCAATAAAGCTGCTTGCTTGTAGTTTACATAAGCCCATTCAAAACAGTGTCGGAGCACCAACACGAACAAATTTTAACTGATGAATTAATAGCTTTTATTTCGTGCGTTTTCCACTACTGCACTTTCACATGGGCCTAACATCATGACCGCTTCCTTCCCATTCCTTTCACACTCACTCATTTCCCTCTTAAATGCTATTAAAATCACTAGTTACAGCTAAAGGTTACATATTCACAATTTTTTATAATTATAATGTTTCAAGAAAGAATATTAAGTCCGCTTCTATCACAGATAAAGGTAAGTTTCTCCTGTGGTACTATGAAATGCAGTCTGGCAGAAACTGAACGACGTTTCAGAAGTGCTTACTGCCTCCATCTTCAGGCCAACATTGCTCTGATGATGGCGGCAACTTCTTAAACGTTGGCCAACTTGCCAGACTACTTAGAGCAACACGCAAGAAGACAGTCATCTTCATTAGAGCACCGATCACAGACGTCTGTAAACGTGGCTGGAAATTAAAGAATATGGCTGGGAAATCTAAAAGAATCTCTTGGGAGGCCTATGTGAGTCTGATTTCAAAATTTATATTAATGAAAAAGGTTTAATTATAATGGCATAAATTGTTCCTAAAACAAATTAACAATGCACATATTCAGCTGTGATATTCAAATCTGCTCGAAATCCCATAGCGTATGTTATTTTTATATTAAACTTAAAAATGCTGTTGGGCTTAAATACTGTGAATAAAACTATTTATCCACATGGGACATTTTGCTCATCACAACAAGGAGAAATTACAACAAACTGTCTGTCTCTTGGACACTGAATACTCTGCGTGTACCACATTAAATTAGATTTTAATTTGTTTCATAAAGTCATATATTGATAACATTAAACGCTGTACGAGCATGTAATGCAACAACAATTGGAAACAGAGATTAAAAATTAAAAGGCGGGAAAACATTTTAAGACTGTAAATAAAGAATCTCTGCTGCACTCTGTATAACATCAACAGAGGTGAAATACTGTATCAAAATGCGCTTGATTTTAAATCGATTTTGCATTACGAATGCAGTCACCTATTTCAGATACAAATTTATTTTCATAAATCTAGCCGACGACGTGCACATTAAACTACAACCCGGTTTTTTAAATTCTAAAATGCTGAAAGTAAACGTATAATAGGCAATCCAGCAGTTTCCGAGAAAATTTATGCAATTCGATTTGAAAAGGAGCGATTGTCTTGGTTACGAAAAACGTCGATTCAGAGCATTTTTTGAGGGCACCAAAATGTCAGATTTAATTAACATTCTTTAAGCAGTTTTGAATGAAAAACATGTCAGTACGTGGATAGACACACCTTCCCAACATGAGTTTGTATCATACGTGTTGTAAAAAACGCGTATTACTTCCGTACTGAACCAGAGACAGGAATGTATTAATTTGCAGTCTTTATTTAAATTAATTACTTTACATTATTTTAAAATCCGCCCCATTCTCCTTTCACTTCATCTGCTAAAAAATATAATGACACAATTCCAGTCTACAATTATCAATCCAATTACTGTCTCTACTTACCAGAATTCAATCACTGAAGTTCTCACTCGTCACCTTTCCCCACCCAACATTTTTAACATCAAAAAAAGACTTTAGAACACGCAATAAAGATAGTCTGTCCAAATCCGTGAAGTCTTGATGCAAACAGTGTTATCTTTAAAAATTCATAAAATACACAATTCACCAAAATCATAAAATCGAGGGAAAACAACTTATGGGTTCAACAATTCCAACTTAACACACAAGCAATTGCAAAGGAATTTTACCCTCAATTCTGCGTACGTAAAAATATCTGTTGTGGGACGGCAGATGGACGCGGTACTTCGGTCACACCTCCTTCCAGATGCTGTGGTCCATATCCTAGCCAGTGAGCTAGCTGTACAAGCAGCAGCAAGGAAGGTAAGCCGCTCCACACACATCGATTCTGTACGTCTTTGGCTGGTGCATGAGAGCTCCCAACCGACTCGGCACGGACCTGTTTTGTTCGGCTCACATCGGTACGGCTTGCCTGACATCTTTGTTACAATGGACTTCGTAGGTTGTCTATTACTATACATAAACTAATCAACTTTTCGTTTTAACTTCAGTTTCCTTTACAGATAACCTATTTCACCATAGAAAATTGCTTGATCAAATATCAGTTTTCTATTTATATTTTCATGTAAGAGTTAAGAAAACAGCACTCGAAATAATTTACAGTGGTTTCATACATTTCATATACGTCTACTCTTTCGCCGAGGTCATGTTAATTTATTATTTATTTCATTTTGTGCCTCGGGGGTGATTTACACAAGGCGCGAACAAGAATTTTCGCGTGAAGTAAACAAAGAAAACTGAGTGCATGTTCATTGTATTTGGCCACCAAAATGCAGGGCGAAATTCATTATACAAAGGCAGATACTAAATCTTCCGAAAATTAAGTATTTAAAAAGAGTAATGCTCACCGGTATTCAGACCAGAAACGTTTTTCGATCTATCTACTGCATAAAATTCAAAAAATACCATGAATAAGCACGCAAAATTGTAATTTTGCGTGCTGTTTTATGTGGGTGTGAAATCTGTTATTTTCTCTTAAGAGAGCACATATTGAGTAGTATTTGAAAATAGGGTACTGAGGAAAAGATTTGGACTTAACGGTAAAGAATGTGAAAAGAAGTCGGAGGAAACTGAACAGTGAAGATCTTCACTATTTTAATATTCACAAAATATTGTCAGAGTGATAAATCCAAAAAGGGAAAGACTGATGGGTTATTTAGTATGTATGGGAGCATGTCACGGTTCATTGCAGTGTCGCCATATTTTGTTTTCCCCAACATAGCAAAATTCAACTTAAAATCTCTTTCGATACACTTCACTATCACAATGCAGTATTTGCTTTCAAATCATAAAATTCGCTGTTCTATAGTTACTGGGTAAATGCAATATTTGCATTTTTTTACTGAATATATATAAAACAGACGAGATTATTTTCCTCGCAAAAGAAAAGCGGCTTCGATATTGCAAGAAAATTAAAGAATTTCTTTCGCAACAAATCGGATGGGGAACTTCTGTCCTGTTTCAACTATACTATTGTTTTATCTTATTCGTTCCAAGTTTGTTTAATTTTTTGAGTGGATCAATAAAGTAATTTTTAAATACTTTAATATATCTCTGCTCCCTGACTGAAGCTTAACAGATCGCTGAGGTGCCGTGGCCTTCAGTTTGAGAATCACTGCTTAAACCGATTATAATTTAATGCAGATAGCCGAAAGAAAGGAACGCGGAACTGCGTCCCGTTTAATACGACTAAATACAGGATAACATCTGTGCCGACAACCGACAAACATAAAAGCAATAACTTTTGTTGACTGTACTTAGTGAGTGGGTCTGTACCCTGATTTACTCGTCAAAGGTTTTATATTTTACTTAATTCTAAGGAAAACTTGCCTAAACCTATCAGTCACACTAGAGTGATCAGCGGCCTAGGAACTACGATGACCTTGGCTCTAGTGTTTGAGGAAGTCATTTACACGGGGATGGACCTAGATCTGATTTTGGGGCGCATTACGTCAGAGTTACATTTCAAATGGTAGACCCTGTACGTACAGACGTTACGGTTCATGGAAGGGATAACGGTATATTCCCGGCAGCCTCGTTGAAGCAATGTTATTTGAACTTTCACATTGCTAACAGCTCTAAGGCCAACCAAGCATAGCATCTGATGGGTGTGAATCCGGAGATAAAAAGAGTTAGCGAGGTGGGACTGACCACGTTTTGTCCGTCATCCGGTGCCGATATGACGTGTGAGTGGGTCGTTACCTCCGCGTCATCTGAGCATTATCATAAGCGATGTTTAGAAGCAGCGTTATCTTTAAAGCTTACTTTTATTATATGCACTTGACGAGCTGTAGAGAACTTTATGAACGCTGCAAGGGTTACAGTAGAATTTGGGATAAATTTTTCTCACATTCTAGTCACTTGTACAGGCCTTGTGCCTTGTGAAATGCAGGTGTCTCGAACTGATAAGTGTAGGGACTTAAAAGTTTTTCTTCTTTGGTACGGAGCAGTAAAACTTTTGGCAGAAGTTTTAAGACAGCATCTAACTTTCTGTCCAAGGTACCGAATTTCGATATATGCTGCATTTACGATCGATTCTTTCTCAAACTGATGGACAATTGCAGTTGTTGCATGAAGAATCAAGAAGTTCAGAGAACATCATTCGGAACATCTGTTATTCTCACTCAAAGATGCAATTAACGATAAAATTAAGTCCGTTCTTTAAAACACATGGAGTTGAATCGCGCGCATTCTTCAAGAGAAGGAAGCACTCTTCAATTGTACAAACGGAAAACATTTCTGTTTTGGTCAAAACACCTTAAATTCAATTAATTTATCCGTCAGTTAAGGTCCTACTTGTTTGTATGATATATTGTAATTTTAAGCATGTATTTTAAGATAATAATTGATTTAAATTGTGTACATGTATACACACACAAACGCACATACGTGCGTACGTATGTACACACGTAACACGTAACAATAAAATGGCTTTAAAATCCAGGATAGAATGTCACCTCATGATCACAATGTTACATAACAGTGCGCGTCAAAATCTGAAATAATTTTCACTAATACCATGAACAGCCATTCTTCAAAGCTTATGGTAGGTCAGATGGTCAAGATATTTACCGGCTTTTTATACAACCCAAATGTTCACTGCCATATTCACGAGATCCTGCCACTAGAACGCTACAATTACAAAATAAATTTTAATATTTAATTTATTAAAGAGCTTTGAGGGAAATGCCCACAAAATTTTAATACAAATACTTGAAATGAATAGATTTCGTCGTAGATGGGATGATAACATAAAAAAACTGATTTTAGTGGAACAGGATATACGCTGGGTTCGTGTGGTTCACAGGTTGCTGTGGATTGATATTTTTAAAAAGGAAATGAACTTTCAGGGTTCCATAAATAGGCGGAATTTTTTTTTAATTGCCTAAGCAATTATCAGCTTATCACTATTATTTGCCCGAATACGTTACCTACGCCCCGAGTATACGGTTCCTAATCAGTGGAAGTGATACGAAATGTTTTATGGATTTACAGCTTTGTTACAATATCTCTCTTCTTACCTATTGGCTTATCTGCATAAACGACTGGATGTATCGATGCATTTGAAGGATTTGTGAGCCTTAGCTGCTTGTCTTCTGTCAGCTGGAGCAGCGCCACGTTAGAATTATTACGTTTCCCTTCATAAGAAGATAAATCGAAAAGACTGGAACGTCCAGTCAACGACGTTTCTCTTATCGAGGGCAAGGAAGGAGTAGAGTCCGAAAACAACGACCCATTATATGCAGATGCTCCACCTAGGAAGCTGTGTCTCGTGGCAGCATGCTGCCATCTAACAGCACGACATGCACCCAAAAGCGTATTTTCAGCCTTAAATTTATCGATTTCTCTGGTAAGTTCTTTTTCCCTTTGTGCTATATTTTCTTGTTGTTTTAAGGCACGAACACTGAGTTCTATTTCGGCTTGCTTTTTTACTTCTAAAGTACAAGGCTGGAAGTCTTCTTTGGGACGAAAAATTTGTGGAAGTTTGGAGTCAGAGTTTTGTGACTTTTTCTTGATGTTCTTCAGAGGGCGGTTAGTAGCAGTGGCGTCGTTGTTGGAATGCAAACTGGATGTTCGAGCCCTTCTCGAAGCGACATTGCGTCTCGTTTCCTTCGATAACTTCTGAATAGCATCCAGCATTTGAACTCGTTCATCGTCTGGCAGAAGAGCAGAAACTTCTTGTAATACCTAAAATAAAATAAAACCAAGATCTGCATGTAGCCTACAGTCCGAATACTTTATTTTGGCTTCAACATTTCCTTTTGTTTTGTGCAGTGCAAGATACGCATACATTTCGGTCTGTAAATGTTAGCTTGGTTCTAGTTTCCTCTGAAAGTGCTTTAGTGCAAAACATCCTCATGTGTATCGTGCCTTAGAAAACATTTCTGCAGTAGAAACACACTGAGATTTACCTCAGTGTCTCGAGCATGATTATATTTTAATCCTGAGTCAGTGTGTGCTTTAAGGATTAGTCTCGATGAAGAATCCATTATGAGACAATACCACATAATCCAGTAAACTGAATACTGTTTCAGATCACAGACTGGATTCCTAAAAGTAACTGAATTAACTCCGATTGAAGAGTTACTAAATTTCGCCAAACAAACATGTAAAGGATGTAGAACGGCGATAGGCACTTTCGGGAAACGCTAATCTGCAAAGGCTTAACCAATTAATCTAACTTACTGTGGCCAGTTCTTTGGTCAGCCGCAATCAGATTCATACATTCGTAATAAACATGCAAAGAGTCTGGGATGTCCCAGCAGTCATTGCTATTAAATTTATAAAATTACGGAAACGTATTTTTAGAGCTTTCTCGAGAATTCTCTCTTTATTGTTAAACTAACAAACTAACTACATCCATGCAACAGAGTCCTTCTTGAAAGGCTAACAGTAGATCAAAAAATCGATATTCTTAGGCTGTGAAAATATCGATTGTGGTCTCCTGGCTTGTGACGCCATGTAGTCTTGTCGCCTTCATCTTCATGGTTTACATAAACTTTTACGATTGAAGCGCTAACTTCTGCCGAATGTCCGTAACGATATCAAAGACTACACCTCGTCACATATCGCAAGCCCATAATCTGCATTTACGAATGCTTTTTGACTTCATCTGGTGTGCCCACACTGCTAGGGTATGGCAGTTGAAGAATTTATGTTTTTGGTACTTACAGAGAATTTCTGCAGCGAGACTAATGCTTGAACGATGTCTCCAACTCCTCTCTGATGGCCGTAGCGACGCCGGGCGTCCAACAGCAGGGTCATGGGACTGGCGTCTCGTAGCCGGCAGTGGGGAGCCCGAGGATTACTAATAACCGACCCAACGTTCCCCAGTCCTGCAATGAGGGACCACGATCTGAGCAAATAAGTGATCACATGTGTTCTAGAATGATTAATAAATAATGGCTTGAAAAGGATATGGAAAAACGCGGTTGCGTCGTGAATTATTTTAAGGTACTACGACTATATCGGAATTTTCTTGAAGGGAATGAAGAACATTACAAAACACTTCAATCGGTCTCTGGTTCGAGACCTCCCGAAAACGAAATACACATTTAACAAACAGATTGTGATTCTGTGGACTAGAATCAGCTGGCTTAGGATAGGATCCAGTGGCGAAACTTTGTTAATAAGATATGTAAATACGAGGTTTCAAGGACACTGCCACATGCAGTTAGTTTATTAATTACATTTCTGTGAAAAAACCGCTTACAATTTTTTTTTCACTCCTCGACGAACATGTTCTCAGAACAAATGTCTAAGTACCGGACACATTTCAAGTGTGCATTGAATGCAAGAAACAACATTTTAAAAGTTTGCCTTCTCTTGTATAAAGCCAGTAAATCTTGTAAAGTCTGCCAGAAGAAGAGAATTGCCTAGTTTTTCACTCACTCATCGTTTCTTCAAACTTTGGTTAAATTTCCAGAAAGAGAGACAAAGAATTCTCCTTCAGCCAGGAATGAAATTGGTTTTAAGTACCGACAACGACTAAATCCTCTCTTGCGGTGTGAGAGAAGGAATGGCATCTCGTGCTTCTTTCTTGCTTTAAACCCAATTATAAAGCGTATTCATAAAATCTGTAGGCAATTTACGTTCCACATGTACCAAAATATTAGTTTTCTCTTACAGGAATGTAATTTATAACCTCAGATACGACGTGTCTGGCTACTAATTTTCATTTACGAATAGGATCAAAGAGGACAGAAGGGTTTTGTTGATGATATGGGTTCTGTGCTGCTAACCCAACTGAAACTGTACTTCTACTGTCGCAACATTTCCCGACTTCAAGAGCAAATCGATCAGTGCATCCGGGGCAACTTCATTTTATATCGGTCATTGTAAAAAGAGGCATAGAAATGTCTCGTTGCCCTGATACAAAAAGGCTTGAATACAGTTTGAATAAATGTACTGAAATATACGCAGTTATTAAAAAGAACAATACAGTGTTAACAACTAGGTTGTTATGTTGTCAAAACCTGTACACATTCTTACTTATTTCGTAATTTTGAAGTAATCTCAACACACACATATTACAAAAATTCGGTTGAAATTAAAAACTGGAGAGAAATGTATGCACATCAAGATGGCCTCTGTCTCTTAATTACGTAGTCAGCGCATTCCTAAAGCAGCGCACGAAGGAGCAGATGGAACATTTGCCTCTGCGACGCGTTAATTAAATGAACTTCGGCCATTTTGTACGTTCTTTGTTACACTCTTATGTAATTACTAATCTAATTGGTTAGATACTACCAGCCTCTATCAAGCTGACTCAAAATGGTGTTTGATGTTCAGAACCCCAAATTTTATAATTAAACCTCTTAAGCAAAAATCAACCAACCTACCAGCGTCCTATCCAATAGGCACATGGGTTGAGGGCTCTTACCTCAGAGGCAAAGATGACGGCGACAAGTTTAATCATTCACCTAAATCTAGAGCCGAAATTTAATTCCAGGCCTTTGTTACCATGAATTGCGTATTCTTTAGACAGAGACATACAGTTAAATTAAAACTGACAGCCTCACCTTGTGCAATCCAGTTGTTTCGTTGCTGAACCAACAATGCTGGCAACGTAACGGACGGGCCCCTCAACAAAGTAGTTTTCTTAATTTTTAAAGTTCCAGCAGCACATCTACGATTGTATGTCGATTTTGTGCTACTAAATGTCGAATATCTGCTTTCAGGTAGCTGAAGATGTTCAGTAGGTGCTGAAGGCAATGTAATATTATGCCTGATAACTTTCTCGTCTGTTGGTGTGAACACAAGCTGCAGGCTAACTTCTGGTTGTCCAGTAACATCTGAGCAGACGAGGTACTCTGCAGTGTCCAGCATGTTCTCAGCCCATATCCAGCCTTTAGCGACAGCATCAAGCAAGGCTTCTGAGGGACTCGCTTCTGAGGCTGTCACCATGCGACAGAAAGTCCCCAGCACTCGCATCTCGTCTCTTTGATCATCTAGCCGTCTTCGCCATTCTTCAAGATGCCAACCGTTTTCATGTGACGCAGCAAACAAGCGGTTTAGATACGGTCTCAGAACTGGTGCTAGATGTCTTTTGTCTTCATCCAATCCTCTGTATAACCACTTCAAAACATGGTGGACCAACACTGAATCATCTGAAAGATTTGCATTTGAAGTGTCTATATCCCGACGGACAGAATCGACTAATAGGATGACTGATGCATCGAAGTTGTTCTTCAGTCTACTACCACTACTGATGTTATTTCTCAAGTTGCCGCAAGAGTTATTTTTGGAGGACGCGCGTCTTCTATTCCTTCCGGTAGGACCAACGTAAGTTCCCATCGGCGAGTTGCTCATATTCCCCAAGGTCAATTCTTTAGCTTGCTCTAGGATTGCCGACAAGAGGTATATGAGGTCTTCCACAGGATCTTCCTGCTGGATGGTAGTAGACGACGTCTGCAGAGGTCCTTGGAACCATGACAGAGAATTTTGATTCTGAAATTATATTAAGCGATAGCATCACCTTATTTATTAAAAATAAGCGTAATTTTTTTTAAAAAAATTAAAAAAGTACTGAGCGAAACCACTCGAATATTATTCGCTGTGATCGTTATTATAGTTGTAAAACTGGGGCCTCTACAACAAGAATAAAACTTCTCCGCATGAACTAACTGCATTCTTCAGAGACACTAATTTATGTACCTGTAGTGTTAGATGTCGGACACGGAGCATCTCTCGAAACAGCTGTGTGATGTAATCTAACTGCCGGGGAGTGAACTGAGCGGACCCTGCTGTCGTGTACGTTCCGAAACTCAATCTTCTGGACCTACATCGAGAAATATTAGCAACTTACAAAATTTACTAACGAGATTTGGAGATTACCAATTATTATCTTCCCCTCCAGGACTGAAAAAAAACAGACTTGTTTTCCATCAGTGTGATGTTATGTTAATTATCCTTAAGCAAGTTAATTTTTGTTTCTCCCAGCGCCAAAGATTCATCTCTTTGACACCGCTGAGATCAGATATGAGGTGTAACCAGCCTCTAATGCGACCGCGGTGTTAATTTGGCCTCTCATCTTTACACGGAGCCGAGTTTACGAATGTGTGGAGCGCAACGTTTACTCCCTTGGCGTGGTACTAGAAACATTGCAAGAATTTAATTATTTCAATGAAAACAGTAGAACACAGAGAAAAGCAGACTAATGACTTGAATTTTCCTTTTTGTATTTCATTACAATTATGGATATAATAAGGAAACCTAAAATAGTTAAAATGGAGTTCGAAAACCATAAAAATAAACGGTATAATTGTGCCTATGCTTTAATTATCACCAAAACAAGAAGATGTATGTGGTACAGTGTGGATACACACAATTTTTAATGTGGCGAATTATCAGTCACACGTTCTAGCTGCTTTAACCGCGATAACAGTTGCATAGGGGCCTAGGCGGGTCCCAGAGTCAGTCTGGGAGTATTGGCATAAAAAATTATTCCTGCCGTTACCGGAATCGAATCCCAGTCCCTCAGCCAGTAATCAACCACTGCACCGACTGACCTGGTTGTTGCGGGCGGCGCCAAGTCGGCGAGCACATTCGCCCATTTTCGTATGAGCGAAGTTTCTAATAGTTCCGATATTAGATAGCGCTTTACGTCATCATCTTCAGGTGGCACTACGGCCACGGCTGATTCCTCATGTAGGCACGTGAGGAAATCTTCCAAAATCTCGACATCACTGAGATAGTCTTCCTCGGGATGATGTTGACCGCCTGAGGTGGAATGGAGCATCACATTACACCACGGGAAGAAGTAGGAGCGGAACCTTTGGGTCTTCAGGGCGATGATCAGTTCATCCAGAAGACGTAGGACGTGGAGAGCCAGAGTATCGGATGTCCACGATTGGAGTACGGCGGCCGAATCACAGCCGGTGCGCTCCAGTTGAAACCAAAGCAGTGTCCGCAACATGTACCGACTCACCACCTTCAGGAACTCCTGTACAGAGACCGTCTCTTATTATGAAAATGACTGTCTTCTAAGATGCCGCGCCGTGCAGTTTGGTATCTTCTTATTAATCTTCAATTTTTATTTAAACAGAACATGTTAAATAAGTTCAAAGTAAATTTCCAATTTAATTCTTTCTCTGCGAAATAAGAGTTTCTCTGAATAAATTTTGTCCCGAATGGCTGTACAATTTATTTTTAATGTATTATGATTGAAACAAAAAGGAAATATGTTGAGGAGGTAACACCTCACGGATTTGTGCAGACGTGACTGACAGTTCCATCGGATTTTGTGCAATAAAGCGTGCAGAACGATCTAACAATGCTGCCAGTCAATGTCCTCACCCGATTCCTGGTAGCGGGAAGACCAAAGCCGCCCAGAGCTTGGCGACTGGTGCGACCCCGTAGTTGCTGGAGAATCGTCTCCAGGAACGCAAGAATCCTGGAAGGCAGACTGGAAGCTGAGTAGTGGGTCAGCAGAGTGAGTTCTGCCGCGGGTACCCAGATCTGCCAGGTGGCAGTGCGGTCATCGCAGCGCACTGTCTGGTGAGGAGGGCCCGGAACAAGGTAGAAACCCTTGAAAAGTAGAAAGTTCCGGGAACTGGCTATAGTGCCTTGCCAAATGGAGGCCGTTCGCAAAGAACTTATTTGATTGTGACTCCTCCTATTTGGACCCGTCCACAGCAGATACCAGGGGATGTCGGGTCACTTGGTTACAAGTGTCAGGTAACACCTTGCAAATCAATCAGTTAGGTCCTTTGGATTGAGATTAGTTTTTTTTTAATTGACCCAACTGATTAGTTTGTATGTTTCACCTGATGAAGCCAGTTTCCGAAACGTCAGGACGTTTTTTAAAATTGCAAGCGAAGTAAAACGTCTAATAACATGCATCACTTAAAGTTTTAGCCAATAAATCGAAATTTCAGAATAAAGTAATTTATTTAAATTCAGACCGTATATAAACAGTGCAATTCAACCTACTGTCTGGGCTGCCTTCTGAAACAGCAGGCAGTCGATATGGCCCAAAGATGTACGGGCAGGGAAGTCGCTTGTCTGTGGCCATCCCGTACAACCCACGGCGATCACCAGCTTCACCTCCACGTCCTCGGCTCGCGATCCAGCCAGAGTAGGCGACAAGAAACCGATCCTTAAGCGCACCTCGGGGGCACCCTCCACGATGGCGATCCGGAAGTCGCGTGGATCTGGGAAACGACTCTGATTGCAGTCCGCTGAAAACGCACCATTTGGGTCTGGCATTAGTTCTAGATGAAACCGTAAAACTATTTTAAAAACTTACGGCATCATTGGTCGCACGTCGTGTACAATTCGAGGACTTTAGTTGACTGCCTACAACATCGAAAAGGGTCACATGTTTGACACGCTTCTAGTCTCTAATTCAATAGTACCAACCTGAAAACTGGTATCTTTATGCCCTATAATCGTTGATATTATTGAAAGCAGTAGGGGTGGGCTCTTACCCGGGCCGTAGAACACCTGCTGTTCAGGAGAAAGTCTCAGCAGTTGGTCTAGGATACCGGCGTCCACGATCTTGCCTGGACTGCCGCAAAGACGCGACTCGTCCACGAGGTCGGGCCTCACGGGTGGCGCGGCTCTTGCCGCCGCTTGGGCCAACAACTCCACGTATCGTTCCTGGATCTTGTCTCTGGAATTTGGAAAATCTCGCCATCTCTCGAAATAAAATTGCTGAGGAACGTCTTTGATTCTATGAGGAATCAAATCAGTGGAAACACGATCCTACGAACAGCTTCATTATACGAATATCGTCACACACTTTTCATAAAATGAAGTACAATTTATACTTCTTATTCGCTTCATTTTGGGAGGTCTCTCTACTCAGACATTACTTGGGCTGCAGAGTTTAATTTGATACTTTACTGCCGGTAACCACAATTTCAACAGCAGGAGACTTCCCAGGGCAATCCAGACTTCGCGTCACATGACCCGAACTTCGATTTAATTACGGAAGAACCACCAACTTGGTGGGGAGGGGGGGGAGTGGTCTTAAAGTAGGGTAATAGCTTAACTCAAGCATCGCATCTGATTTATTTCTTGGAGCTACCCTGATCGAATTCCTACCAAGGCACTGTCCATGTTGAATGAGCCCGTTGTCACAATGGCACGCCGCGTTCTTAGGTAGCGGGTGAAGGACACGGCCTCCATGTACGGAATGATCAGTCGCAGACAGCCGACAAGGGATCGTCGTGCATCTTGAAAATGAAAAGGCTGTGAATTTCTCGACTAGTTTATCGACTGCTAGCTTCTCAAGCAGGACATTTTTTTATGGATTTATTATTTAATTTGTCAGTTTCGTCAGAGATTTATAGAAGTTGAATGAGTCAGGAAGTTGACCATAAATAGTGAGAAAAGGATTTGAAAGGAGAAAGTCTGGGCTATTTAATATGATATTCTAGTAGTCGCCTGAAGGGACCGAGGAATACCACGAGACATCTCAGGACAGTAGGTAACTCGGTCGAGGTTCGAATCTGTTGTGGCACCTCCCGAACAAAGTTCTAGATGTTATCGCTACGTCAAACCCTGCTTGGTTAACTGGTCAAGTTGACAACTGCAGGTTCTTTTTGTACATACCTGCGCAGAAACCCCGATGCGTTGATGAATTCTGCCCACTGTTCTGCGCCTTCCCCTTGAAGTCGTATCTTTGCGAATCCCTGAGGGGACCCTTGACCCTCGACCACACGGCATGTTGGCTGGGTCCCACAATCCTGATACACAGGCGGTGAAGACAGAACATCCAGGCGAACAAGGTACTCGAACCGAGGACTCTGACCAGGCTGTAAAGAAAAGGCATCTCGGAACACCGCAACACTCTTCAGAAACTGAATAAATACCACATCACAGACCCGAGGAAGGAAACGGCACTGTCCTCCCTCGTAATTCACGGTAAAATCACGGAAGTCGCCTGGAGAGACTGAGGAAAATCACAAAAATATCAGTACAGATAGCCAATTTCCAGGCTGTGATTTGAACCCGAGATCTCCCGAATATGAAGCAAAGGGTTGTGTTTCAATGAGGACTGGACGCTGTTTCGGCTTCTACCTTCACAGATCTTGCAGTTTTATGCGAGCGTCTCACCTTACTGCGGTCTCGTATGCCATCCAGGGTGGCGAGGAACTTGCTTGAGAACCTGGAGTCCAGCGTCGCAGCACCGCACACCAGACGCTGTACTAGGCGCTCCACCACAACCTCCACAGCAGCGCTGATCCGCTCTCTGCTAAAGTCGCCACCACTCCCTGCAAAAAGATTCTTGCTTTTTAGTTTTAGGGGCGACGAAATCCGACAGACGTTTTCCCTTCTTATTAATTTGAATTTAAACGAAAAATAAAACTGCCCTTAAATATAAGATGCAGAAAAAGCATGACATTTTAATCTTCTGACATGCCATTAGAAGGTATAAAGAAAAATAAGTGAACATTAACTTAAGATGGAGTAGTTGACTCCTAAGACACTGCGTACTTTTCACGAAGAAAACATTACGAACCCGCTGCTGAATGCCGCTTACATTCCATCTTCAGACGTTTCCAAGATTGTATTGAGGTAAGATTATAAATCAGCTGTATTAAACCATGTAACTGGATAAATCTTTCAGTATTATCGTGTAGTTTCCTTGTTTACACTATGTGTTTGGTGGCCCGAAAGGAGAACTTGGTCTTCTGTTTCAGCCAAATGCAACGGTCTACCAATGTAGTTACGTTCTGCTGGAATATTTTCCTTGCCATAGTATTAAATGTTGACCTTGATTCCTCTTGACTCCCTGTATACCCAACACAAATTAATTGGGAACATTTAGAAGCCGCAGGGCGTGTTTCACAGACCACAGTTGTGATGTTAGTTCCACATGGACTCACTTATTTGCATTATGTACAATACAGTCAGAACAACCACCGAGACGTTTTCGAACTTCGTGGCTATGGAGTTGTACGTTCTCCGGAGGACTTCATCGGACATACGTACTACTGACCTTTTATTTAAAAATAGCATTAAAAGCGGATCCAATTAATGTCGGTAGGTTTTCATTTTTATTCCTAAAGAAACTTCGCCTACATAAGATAGAAAACTCCTTAACAACTCTTCTGTGGCAACAGCTACAACAAATTATGTATAACAGACACGTACTCACGAACATTCTAGTAATATAATAGTACTAGCCTACATAATACCCATAGGAGGAGGCATTCTTTGCGATATTGAATCCTGAATTTATATTCATGTTTTGGAATTGAAGCTTAGGGATAGACACGGTTTCCCACTTTGACTTCATTTGAAGCTCTTTATTATAATTTAGCATAAAGACTGGTCAGAGAGCTCGTAAAAATTAGTTACAAAACAGCTAGTCTTAATTAGTTGTTTATCAAGTACCTGATCAGAGCAAGGATGTCACAATATATACTAACATTAGGCACGTAATTTACCTGTACACTTTTGTTATTTCCTTACAAGAAAGTGTCAGCTCACCGTGACTGTTATGTTGTTCCAAGCGTGTTAGTTGGAGATTCAACCTCTGCAGTTGTTCCCTGGAGAATCGAAGCCGAGACCCTGGTAACTTAACCTCGCCCCTTCCTCTCGAGCCCTGATGGCGACCCAAGCAACCACCTCCTCGTTTACTGGGGCTGCTCCCCATGGTCTTAAGCTTACTAAAGCTCTGAAACGTAGACATATATCGCTGTGGGTTAATGCTTTTTATTTTGTTTTCAGTCTAATGAGAACCAATTTAACGTGTTTTAGACTCTGAACATGCAAACAAAAGCCGTTACCTTATGCACATCAATGCGCCTTTCTGTTAGAAACGAGGAAAATTCACGTCCAGAAAGTGTATTTTTCTGGAAAATAAAATGTTACCAAAACAGTTAACAAACATACAATATATTTTATTTTAATTTCTGTTAATTTTTATTTCGGATTTCGACGTTGTCAGGAATGGTATAGGCTAGAACAGTTGTCAGTCCATCATTCAGCTAGCCAACTAGTCACTTACTTAGTAACTACTTATTAAAACCATTAAACACAACTTTCGTTTATTAAAATTCATTACGCCTCTTCTGTCCACTTTGATAACTTTTGTGATCTGTTTAACACACTCAGTTGCTATGAAACGGCATCGAGTGTCACGATCTATAGGTCTGGTGGATAAATAGTTACGACGAGTGTAAAAACAAGCTACCATTCCATAACATAAGGAGCTTGTAGTCGTGGCCTAATATAAGATAATGTACAACACTAGCATTTGTTTAGAGTGACTGGAATAATCATGAAAACCGTCTGTCAGGATATGGCGAATTCCGCCCGATGTTGGAAACTGAGCCTCTCAGATACAAACTAATATATTGTCTGTACTTCACTATAAAACTGAATTCCGTCCACTAAACACGACAAAACTTCATCCACTCACTAACAACAACCTCTTCCGCAATGTCCTGTACTCACATGGCCACTGAATTACTGGAGTATTGTTTGAACGTGGCAGGATGTTGGTCGGGGGATCCAACAATACAATTCTCTTTCCGGTAACCACCCCCCCTCCTCCATCCACGATACACTTCCGATCACGTGGAATTTTATTCACAGGTTTTTCTAGCTGTCTACTACATAGCTGCAGTGCCAATCACAAAAAGACATTGTTTTCGCCATGATAAAATAGCCGTATCTCAATACTGGTCATCTGGGTTGTGACCGTGTGATCTTGTAACCACCTGCAAGTCCACATGACGTCACAATCCAGAAGATCACTCGACGTCTTCAGCGCCGTGAGAACATCGAATGTCAGATCGCGTAATTGTTTAACTAACACGCCAGACTGTGGAAAGCAGAATTCTTTCTTCTTCTTCAAACTTCTTCGGCGATGGTAATTACTGATTTCTTTGTTTTTGACTTTTATCCACTGTCTGAGTCATCCTTCGAAACGTAGCGAAATTTTTAGGTTTTAAAATTTTTAAGACTTGAAAAGAAAAGAAAACAAAGAACGTAGTAAAGAATTCTCTGCTTATTTCTTTGGCAGAAAACAATTAACTATCTCCGGCTTACAAAGGGTTTCCTATTGCAATTGATTGCCGGTCAAGAAATTCAATGTGTACAGAGTCCAGTGCCGTTATCACAAAATCCCTCCACTGGACTATATCTAGTGACAGTTCAATTATGATCTCATTTTGCCCTGTAATTCACCTCATCCGCTTATTATTTCCGTTTTCCCTGAGTTCAAAATTTCTCCATTGTACATTATGTCCACACTCTCTTGATCCATGTTCTTTCCTCAGACTGAAAGACCAAGATTCGTAACCATATAAAACAAAGGAAAAATTTATAATTTTGACTAGCAGATGGAGACGGAAAAACAAATGATTCTGAACTGAATGGCTGCAAACATTACTATAATTAATCTTATCTTTATTTATCATAAAATTAATTTCGTTTTGTGACTGTTGTTACCAAGTACTTGGTGCATTTTTCTTCTTCTATGTTTTGAAGCCTTTCGATCCAGAAGCACAGACTGACATCGAGAACAACTTGTGTCTCTGAAGCACCGTTCCATGAATTCGGCTAGTCCAGGTAGAATACGATCAGTACATTCGAACAGGATAGAGGAGGGTGCCAGCTTCATCAAGGCTACATACCGACCATTGGTTACGGATGTTAGATCACATTAACTTCAAATGGGCGGTGTCCAGTCAGCATGTGGCGAGAGCTCTGCACAGCTCCAAGGTTCTCCCAATTACAAACTATCCACCTGTTCGGACTTTACAGTCATGGACACTTTCTTAGGAACAATTTAAATAAAGGCCCACAAAATACGGAAACGATATAGAGCGGGTTGAATCAGCATGTCAATGACACCGGTTTAGTCTCAACAAGATACAGGTCATCATAAGGAGGTTATTTCGTGATTTTATTCAGTATATCCAGATAACTCAGGCCTACTTATTTAAATACTCACGAATGATTCTTTCATTGTCCCTCCCGCTCCATTCAACAATTACAGTACAATATTTATTTGACACTAAATAACGCCTGTATACCAAAATAACTATCCAACAAACTACATAATGCACATTCCACCTTCAGAAGCTAACAATAAATTTTCCGTCTTTTATGAGTCCGAAGGCTCATTACAGTATACACAAAAATCCCCTAGCGGTCCCTGATCTGAGTCAGATGACTCCAATCTAAACCCTTCAACCAAATTCCCCTAAAGATCCACTTTAATATCACCTGTTTTCCGTTCCGCTTAGATTATACCACCCACGAGTTCAGTGGACGAAAAATATGTTTAATTAATGCTCTAATTGAAGAATTCGCTTCAGATATCAGTATATATCTCAGCCAGCGCGACAGTTTCTTTAATTTCGAAAGTAATTTTGAATGTGATATCTGATTTTTTCGTTCTGTTTCTGAGAAAACTGAAATGGAGACTTCACAGTGTTACTAAACGTCACGAGTAAATGGTTGGCACTCCTGCTATGTGTTCAAGTTGCCCCCAGTCTTGATTCTAAGACCATATGGTAATATGTTCAACATGAACGAAAATGTGCAGACGCAGGGAGACGATTCTGAAATGTTCTACAGTCCCATCATAAACTCACCATACTATCAAGTCTTCCTATGATCCTAGAGCCAATCCATATCGTTTCAGCTCACTTATCCAGAATTACGTGAAGTACAATATCTGCAGAAAAAACGTCGAGTTACAGTTGCGTCTAGGTCACACAGTTCAAATGCCAAACATTTACTTAACAAGTTGGCTTCATAAACCATAAAGTAAAAATCCACTTGTTCGTCGTGACTACCCTCTGTGAACCTTTGAAGCCCCATGTCCTACCCGCTCTTCGTGACAACATGGCCACAGTCACAAAATCTAATGAATCCACTTCACAAAGGGAAGAGACCCCTTCAACTGTGCATGTTACACTCAGCCCCAGTGTTTCAGAATAACAATATGCCACCCCTTTCTCTGCCTTCCTCCCCACTTCACAAAAACAACTCACCCTATTCTAGCGTGTGAAGAACCTGACAGAATTACAAGTTACTTCGTCTGACTCACGCCTTTGACAATTCTATCGCCGTTGTCTGCTCGTGATTATAATTAATAACACATTCAGGAGCAGCTCAAAAGTATTAGGCCATCTTCTGGACACTGTCCATTTTATGAAATATGAATCTGATATACGCGACGTTTTGGGATTTCGCTGTACCCTCGTCTTAATGTGATTTATCGTCATAACAATGGCAGGCATTTTAATTTTATTTTAAAATCAGTAATGATAATTGAGATAGAATCGGAAATCTTTGGAGTGCTAAATTTTTTTAAAACTTTGCATACCGTGTAGTGTATTAGAATATAGAGTAAGCAAAGCAACAACTATTAACACTATAATAAAACACTATTGCCATACGCGCTTCGACCTCAAGAGGTCATCACCAGGGAAATTAATACATTAATTTCCCTCTTGAGGTCGAAGCGCGTATGGCAATAGTGTTTTATTATAGTGTTAATAGTTGTTGGTTTTCTTACTCTATATTTGGAGTCCTAGGCTAATATTTTAATCATAACCGGGAAGATCAGTTCCTAAAGTTAAAAGTAGAGCAAGCTGCCGAAACGTCGAGTATACCAATTGTATTTCACACAATGGAAACTGTTCAAAATGAAATTTGTGTGTAATAACTTAAACTTTTTAGAGGCCTTTAGGAGTACAGATTGAGTGTTTTGAACATAAAGTGTGAAATATTGGTAGAGTTGTAACCGACAAGTGTCAACCGTGAAGGATATTGACTGTTTCTTTGGAGTAGACAGGATTGTTCCTGCCTTACGTGCAGTTTCTATAACACGAACAAGCGCGTTCTTTTCCTTGTCTCTTGGAATTCATTCCTACCCGATGTGATTTTAACAAGACAACTTATAACTGAGCAGCTCCAGCAAGTAGGGGTATCATTCCGAAACAAGATTTATGGGTAGGATTTGCTCTAGCCAAGCCTCTCTGAGATATGGAGTGCAAAACCGTTAAGGCTGAACAATTGTTTTTTCCTGGCGGTGTGAGAGTGCATAAATGGTATAAAAGAAATTAAAGTTGATACCCTCTTACTGCCAAAGCAGATATCGGTGAACCACGATACCTAGCTTTCCCAAAGTCAACCCAACGTCCGGCATGCTTAGGAAATACGTGCAGGAATATTATTAGGGAGAAAAGGTCACAAAAGTTAGAAAAGGTGTTCATAAACGTAGCAGGAGTTCGAATTCGTGTGTGCAATTTCTTAATTTTATAACTTATTTCATAATTTATAAACATCGTAAACTACAATAGTTGTTGGCAATATCTGAGCTTCATTCAATTGAAAGCTTCTTATTTCGCATTAATTATCTTCGATTCTAAAAGTATTATGATAAATAATGGCACCATAATTTCTATTACTAGCAACAAAATTATCTATATTAAAACCTATCCGGTATAATCATTTGAAATGGCACAGAAAATTATTTAAGTAGGATATATGTTGTAAGAAGTAAACATCCAACTCAATTGTACGTGTAAACCGATTATAAAACATTAGGAAATCAGGGTCCAAATACCAGACTACTACATTTTAAGCTTATATTCATTTCAACAATTCGTTCAAGCTGAATTATACTATCACACTCGTCTGTGCGACAGCCCTGACAAAGAAGCACATTATCTTACACTTGGTCCCAAGTTAGGGGTTCAATTACTGACCTGGCATTTGACTAGTCTGAGAATAAAGATACTTTATTTTTATGGGCAGCCATTATTGGATATCTGATGTTGCATTCTGCTCATCTGTTCCAACACAAACAAGCCGCTGACTTTGCAATCAATAGCATACCCCATTTTTTATACACTAGAGCAGGGCGCTCCTTTCGGAGCTCCTAGGGAGGGTTGGTCAAGTTTGTAAAACGCCACCAACCTTGTGTAAGAAACTAAACTAACCGCCACGAATTGAGGGTTAAAACAATTAACCATTTCTTTTTGAAATCTTAAGTAACACGCAAAACTAACTCCTCTTCGGGGGGGTTAGTTTAGTATCTCATTCAAGTGTTTTAACCCCTGAGTAAGAAACTAAACTAACCCCCTGAATGGGGGGTT